AGAACTTCTGAGAGAGACCCACTTCTTCAGGATTTGCCTTTAGTAATGCCAAGTAGAAGTCGTATTTAATACTTATAAAATTTGGGTAGCCTTGGTCTGGTGGGGATAGGAGATAAGAATAGGGGTAAAAGGCTATATAGGGGCTTGAGTTGCTTGCCAGGGTAACCCCCAGGGGACACTTCTCTATTCAATTTTTTTTTGTTGTTTTTTTGTTTTTTTTGAGACAGAGTCTTGCTCTGTCACCCAGGCTGGAGTGCACTGGCACCATCTCAGCTCACTGCAAGCTCCGCCTCCCGGGTTCACTCTGTTCACCTGCTGCAGCCTCCTGAGTAGCTGGGACTACAGGCGCCCACCACAACGCCCGGCTAATTTTTTGTATTTTTTAGTAGAAACGGGTTTCACTGTCTTAGCCAGGATGGTCTTGATCTCCTGACCTCGTGATCTGCCCGCCTCGGCCTCCCAAAGTGCTGGGATTACAGGTGTAAGCCACCGCATTCAGCCACTTCTCTATTCTAGTTCTAACTCTTTTATTTTCTTCTAAGGGACTGGCTTTTTTTTTTTTTTTTTACCTCCCTTTCCACTGTTGCTCTGACTTTTCTAATTTTGTTTTGAAGTGTTGGTAAAAATGGAAAAATAAGGTATTTTTAAGCTTTCTCTTATGCCTTTTTCCTCCAGTTTCCTTCTAACTTCCCCTGCCCCGACTATATTTTGAAGTCAGTCTCTCACATAATTCTTGTTTAATTTGCATCGCCTATCCCCTAATTTAGGACAGCGTGGTCAGGCAAGAATATTATATACCTATCACTCATCTTCTATGTGTTTCTGCCACATTCTGCTTCCCTTATGATAGCACAAAGTATTATAATTTTCTGGTGATCTGATTGTGAGGTTCCTTGAGGGGTATGGTTGTGTCATTTTTGTTTACTTGCATATAATAGACTGAAAGTAAGCATTTCAGTGAATGGTGTTTATCATTTCTTTATGATTCATTCAGGTACCTTACTGTGTTCTTGGCACTTGCAGACAACTTCTTTTATATTATGTAATTGTACTTTCAAGTTCATGATAATTTTGTTACATGAATTTGGGGAAAACATTGAAACTGGTCAAAGTGCACACACTTTCAGGTGTTCTCAATTTATTTTGCCAAAGTGCTTTTGATTTACAAAGATAAAACCCTGCCACAAATTGTTTATATACGGATGATTTTCAGTAGAATTTTAGAACTCCAAGGAATCTTACAAAACAGGTTGTTAACAACTTTTCTAGTCATTCTCATCTGGAGTTTGGTTTGCTGCTTCCTACTTCATCAAAGCCAAAAGCAAAAATTCGATTATTATTATTTTTTTTTTCTGAGACAGGGGCTCACTCTGTCGCCCAGGCTGGGGTGCAGTGGCTCCATCACAGTTCACTGCAGCCTCTCTTTCCCAGGCTCAAGTGATCCTCCCACCTCAGCCTCCCAAGTAGCTGAGATCACAGGCATGCACCACCACGCCTAATTTTTTTATTTGTGGAGAAGAAGGCTCACTGTGTTACCCAGGCTGGTTTCAAACTCCTGGGCTCAAGCAATTTTCCTGCCTTGGCCCCCTACAGTACTGGGATTACAATTGTGAGGCATGCCAAGAAATTTAATTTTTAAAAAAATGTTGAACGTCACAGGTGTAATGAGATGCTGTTGGAGCATAGGAAGGTACTTAGCCCAACTTGAATTATCAGGAAAAGTACCTGGTGGGGAATAACATCAAAATAGCTCTCAAGAGATACATAATAAAGCAGGTGAGATAGAGAAGGGAGCGCGTTCCAGGCAGAAGGAGCAATACGAACAAAGGAGCAGTGATGTAAAATAGCATAGCAGGGGCAAGGAAGGATCATAAATAGAAGTTACTGCTCTTAGAGCATGGAGTTTAAGACAAAGTGATGGAAGATGTTTGAGGTTAGAGAGGTAGGTCATAGATTTGTATGCCATGCTGGGGAATTGTACTTAATCTTTTAGGTAGTGGTGAACCTTTTAGAGTTTAAAGCGGGGGAGGTTGTATATTATAAGGAAGAGACTAGCAGCATGTGGAATATAATATATATGCAGAATATATATTAATAGCAGTCTATATTTTACCACGTTTGATCAATCCATTATAAATTCTCTTTAGGATTATTTGTTCAGCTACTGAATCCTTCTAATCCTATTTGGGCATTCCATATGAGAAACAGTTCACCTGATGAAATCAGGAAATACTGTTTTGGGCTTTCTCTTTTTCTCTTTCATTCTTTATTTTAGAGGAATAGGAGTGAAATGATAGAGGAATAGGAGTGAAATGAATTACTTAGGCACAGAACTTACTGTTTGTAATGCTGTCATGATAATATTACTGTTTAGTACATGTTTGAATTGATTTGAAAAAGTTACCTTAGACTCAATATTACTTCAGTTAAATTGAGTCTTCTTAAACTGTTATCTTTTGGGTTTTAAAAAAGTTACGGCTAGTTTTGTCTAGTGATGATAACATTGGCCATGTGGGAATTCTTTTCTTGGCCGTATTGTTAAATTTTAGTATGTGGTATATGGGCCACACATAGTGGCTCACACCTGTAATCCCAACACTTTGGGAGGCCAAGGCGGGAGGATTGCTTGAGTCTGGGAGTTCAAGACCAGCCTGGGTAACATAGTGAGACCTCGTCTCTGCAAAAAGTAAAATTAGGCCAGGCGCAGTGGCTCATGTCTGTAATCCCAGCACTTTGGGAGGCTGAGGCGGGCGAATCACTTGAGATCAGGGGTTCGAGACCAGCCTGGCCAACATGGCGAAACCCCATCTCTACTAAAAATATAAAAATTAGCCAGGCGTGATGGCACAAGCCTGTAATCCCAGCTACTTGGGAGGCTGAGGCAGGGAGAATTGCTAGAACCCAGGAGGCGGAGGCTATAGTGAGCTGAGATCGAGCCACTGCACTTTAGCCTGGGTGACAGAGCAAGACTGCGTCTCAAAAAAAAAAAAAAAAAATTAACTGGGCATGGTGGCACGTACCTCTGGTCCTGGCTACTTGGGGGCGCTGAGGTGGGAGGATCACTTAGGCCTGGGAGGTTGAGGGTGCAGTGTGCCATGGTTGTGCCACTATACTCCAGCCTGGGTGACAGAGCAAGACCCTGTCTCAAAAAGATATATATATGGAATATTAAAGTTCAAAGTTATTGTCATGATTTCTTTCATGACTAATTGTTACAGTGTTTAAAATAACTATTCATGTATAATATTTTGTAAATTTGTTTTTCTGACATTGTTAGATAATTGGGTAGTTTAGAGGTAGGAAAGGAGAACTAATAAAATTGGAGTGCTATTTGCATTCTATATATGTGCTTTACATAAGTTATGTCATTTAGTTGTAACTATATGATAATCTCCATATAACTGTATTCTCTTTTTTTGTATATTACCTTTTGTGATTCTTCTTACAATTGTATGTTTCTGTTATTGTTTAATGCCAAACACCAAATAATGACATTGTTTAATGTAATCTGTCATTCAGGGATTTTTTTTTTCTCCCACATTGTATCTCTACCTGAAGGTTGGAGTTAATGGTGTTCTTGTTTTCATAGCTACTGTAAATCATTGTTCCTTTCATCTCCCTAAAGCCTCCCCAGTTTCATGAGTTTATAACATCACCTACGTCTCCTGGGAATTTATTCCCTTGTTGTTGATGTGTTTGGCTGGCTTACTTAACATTACTTTTCCTTATTTGTTGTGGCATTTTGGATAAAAGCTCATCTTGATAGGAATTTAATTTCTCTTGAATGCTTAACTCTTCATCCAGAAGTTCTGTGACTGGCTTTACTTGGTTCTCAGGGATTTTTATGAACCCTTAGTCCAGAAGTAGATTTTAAAGTAGCCTAGATACAAAATTACAGCTAGATATGAGGAATAACTTCTAGTGTTCCATACCATTGTAGGCTTACTATGGTTAACTTAGGAAATATAAATGAACTATGATAACAGAATGATAGCCCATTTAAAAACTGAAATCAATAGTAATAAGTGAAAGTTACCAGGGGCAACAGATGAATTATACATTTAGAGATAATGAAAAAATACTGAACGGGAAATCAACCTGAAGTAAATGACTGTTTTGAAAGATTTCCACAAACACAAAACATCATTGTTGTTTTAATCTTCCTATATATTATTTGAGTATTCTCCTTATAGCTCTTTCAAACTGTTTGAAACTACAGTTTGAAAGAGCTATAAGGAGAATACTGAATGTTTCCGACATAAACAACTGGTTTTATTTTTTTAATGGTGACTCCAAAACTTAAGAGTAAAAGTTTTCTAATCACTATTAAAGTGTGTCCCTGCTAAAAATTAAGTCTATACTCAGTAGTAAAGCTTACAACAGCAATAAAACAATAATGTTTTGTGTTTGTGGAAATCTTTCGAAATAGTAATTTACTTCAGGTTAATTTCCTGTTCAATTTTTTCATCATCTCTAGATGTATAATTCATCTGTTGTCCCTGGTATCTTTCACTTATTACTATTGATTTTAGTTTTTTAAATGGGCTATCGTTTCCATTATCATAGTTCATTTATATTTCCTAAGATAAGTTAATGGCTATTTGCTGCGGGAGAAATTCACTATATTTTCTTAATCTTAAGAGTTGGGGGAACTTAACTCCAAAATTACTATCAGTTGATAATAGTGTTACTTAAACTTTAAAGTGTTATATTTTCTGAACACCTAAATTTAATTAAACTATGGATATTTGGTGAGATGATAGTGAAAATTTTAATATAGTAGGAGAATATTGGATGTTGATATTAAATGTGATAACCAATAAAGTTTTATTTTCATCTGTCTCAAGTCTGATAGATTGTGAATAACCTTAACATTTTTAAACATTTTTAAACATAAAAGTGAGGTAGTATTACCTCACTTTTTATGAGAGAGAATTCTAAACATACTCTTGATGATAGCTCAAACTTTGTCTTATGTTTTTAAAATTGTTTCCTTATAGAATGTTTCTCCATCCCAGAGAGATGAAGTAATTCAATGGCTGGCCAAACTCAAGTACCAATTCAACCTTTACCCAGAAACATTTGCTCTGGCTAGCAGTCTTTTGGACAGGTTTTTAGCTACCGTAAAGGTAAGTGTTTTAAGATAGACTTACATATAACCTCATTTGAGTGTACATATGCTAAACCAGAAGCTATTAGTAAACATTCTTTAAGGTAGAAAGAAGTGGAGAACTTTGCTGGAGAGTGATGTATGTACCCATAAGAAGACGTGGTGATGTGTTCTGCTATTGTTTATTTTAGTTTTATTTTTTGAGATAGTTTCACTTTGTTTCCCAGGCTGGAGTGTTTCTGCCTCCTGGGTTCAAGTGAGTTTTGTGCCTCAGCCTCCCACATAGTTGGGACTACAGACACGTGCCACCATGCCAGTCTAATTTTTGTATTTTTAGTAGAGACAGGGTTTTGCCATGTTGGCCAGGCTAGTCTTGAACTCCCGATGTTAAGTGATCAGCCTGCCTTGGTCTTCTAAAGTGCTGGGATTACAGGCATGAGCTACCGCTCCTAGCTTTCTACTAAAAAGCAGAAGTGTTTTTGGAAGTGTTTCTAATTGTATTCTGTAATTTTCTTTTTGTTACAAGTATTCATAACTTTTTAGCCTATGAAATTTTCTATCTCTTGATTTTAGCACAAACCATATAGCATCAGCTGAATATTTTATCATTTTCTAACATTGATGTACAGAGGTGGACAAGGAATCAGACTAAAGTATAAGCTTATTGCACGTTTTTCTCTGTCACTACTTATTGAATATCCATACTATGTGGCTTTCTGAAAAATGTGAAGTGCTTTCTTATGGGCATACTTTGGGATATAACAAAATGTCATAAAACAACCTTGGTATATTTTTGTTGAATGGCAGCATACAAATAATTAGGTTTTATATTGTCCCCATTGTTATGTCATTGGCTGTGTCAAGTTAGTAAGTAGGCCCTCAACATATTTAAAGTAGAAAATGAGCATGCATTTAATGGCAAGGCATGAAAGAGTAGCAAAGTATTTTAACTGTAGGCATTAGTATGCATAAGAATATGTAAACTGGGGGAACTGTCAATTAAAATGCTTTATTAGGTATACAAAATAGAAGCCAAAGAATTAAGGAGTGTAAGACTGAATAGCCGCTGAGTTTCAAACTTCTACTCTTAAGAGACTTACTAAACATGACAGGACCCAAAAAATAAGAAATATGAAAAAAATGAGATACTTAGCAGAATTCTTTAATTGTTCCAGAAATTTCCCCAACTTTGTTGCAAATGTTTAATAAACACAGCAAGAATCTCATGATAGAAACTACAACAATGTGTTCACTAATAGTTTTTGAAAAATATACTGTCCCAGAAAGGACACTAACCTTAAACTCATCTTTCTGTGGAATTATCTGTGAAAAGTAGGTTAGATGTAGTGGAGAAGGGAGGGAGGAGTGATGTGGACTTGTTGCTAAGATAAAAGTAGGCATTTTTCAGATATCCCAGATTGCAAGCAGCTTTAAAAAAATGTTTACATACACAGAAAATATATTTTTTAATTTGGGGAATATTATTAAAAACTTCTAAATCAGACTTTTTTTCTGCTGGATGGAAATGAGCTTTGGCTAACTGGCTTTGGTTGAACTTTGAGCAATGGAATTTATATTATTTTTGTAGAATATCATATGGCTAGGATTGTAATGTTAAAAGTTAGCCCTGGAGACACTTGATCTTGCAAGTGTACTTTCCTTGCTTTCATTACTGCTCTAAAGCTTTTCAATAAACTTCTTTCCTATTCTTAAAAAAGTTAGCTCTGATCTAAAAAGCAGTGACAGTCATATTAATTGAATTCCATAGCATTTTGTATATACCTGTCTCATCTGTATATCTCTGTTTTTAAAACAGTTATAAAAAGTTCAACCGTTTTTGAAAAATCAATAAAGTTGCTTTTTCCCTCTTCAAAATTTTAGGCTCATCCAAAATACTTGAGTTGTATTGCAATCAGCTGTTTTTTCCTAGCTGCCAAGACTGTTGAGGAAGATGAGGTAATAAATCCTTTCAAAATGTTTTTCTGTGAAAATTTCTCTCCATTAACTTGCTTCTTGTTTGCCAAAACAAAAATCGTAAATGAGTTTCTTTCTGTCCTTTTCTCCCTGTCCCTGTTCCCCTTTGCTTTGAATAGAGAATTCCAGTACTAAAGGTATTGGCAAGAGACAGTTTCTGTGGATGTTCCTCATCTGAAATTTTGAGAATGGAGAGAATTATTCTGGATAAGTTGAATTGGGATCTTCACACAGCCACACCATTGGATTTTCTTCATATTGTAAATATACCTGAAGTCTTTTAGTTTCTTATTTGAGTGTGTAGCCTTCAGTAAATTAAAAAATAGATTGCCTACTCATTTATTTTGTACTGGTTTTTAGGAAAAAGAAAACTATTGATATCCAAGGAAAAATTATAAATTAGTATATATGTCATATCACTGAAGCTTAAATCACAAACTTAGAAATTGAACAGGTTAGGCTGGGTGTAGTGGCTCATGCCTGTAATCCCAGCACTTTGGGAGGCTGAGGCAGGCAGATCACTTGAGGTTAGGAATTTGAGACCAGCCTGGCCAACATGGCAAAACCCTGTCTCTACTAAAAATAGAAAAATTAGCCGGGCATGGTGGTGGGCACCTGTAATCCCAGCTACTCGGGATGCTGAGGCAGGAGAATTGCTTGAACCCAGGAGGCGGAGGTTGCAGTGAGTTGAGATCATGCTACTGCACTCCAGCTTGGGCAACAGAGTGAGACTCTGTCTCACAAAAAAAAAAAAAAAAAAAAAAAATTGAATAGGTTGCATCAATTTCTATATGTAATTTCCTATATATTTAAATCAAGTTAAAATGATGTTTTTGTGATTTTCAGTTCCATGCTATTGCGGTATCAACTAGGCCTCAGTTACTTTTCAGTTTGCCCAAATTGAGCCCATCTCAACATTTGGCAGTCCTTACCAAGCAACTACTTCACTGTATGGCCTGCAACCAACTTCTGCAATTCAGAGGATCCATGCTTGCTCTGGCCATGGTTAGTCTGGAAATGGAGAAACTTATTCCTAATTGGCTTTCTCTTACAATTGAACTGCTTCAGAAAGCACAGGTAGGTGTCAGTCTAATTAAATAGTGTTCTTTTTAAGTTTTTCTATTATTGGAATACATAGAGTTACCAAACTGAAAGACATTTCTAATGTTGTAATGGCAAACCATTCTTTAGACAAGAGTAAAGTATATATTTTAAATTTACAGGCTAGATGTTCTCTTGTTTTCTTATAAAACTTATATAGTGGCTGGGCAGTGGCTCACGCCTATAATCCCGGCACTTTGGTAGGCCGAGATGGGCGGATCACAAGGTCAGGAGATCGAGACCATCCTGGCCAACACGGTGAAACCCCATCTCTACTAAAAATACAAAAAAATTCTCCAGGCATAGTGGTTGGTGCCTGTAGTCCCAGCTACTCGGGAGGCTGAGGCAGGAGAATGGCGTGAACCCAGGGGGCAGAGCCTGCAGTGAGCCGAGATGGCGCCACTGCACTCCAGCCTGGGCGACTGAGCGTGACTCTGTCTCAAAAAAAAAAAAACCTTATATAGTATTTTTAAGATTCCTTTGCACCATTTCTCTTAGATTACTTATCTTTACAATTATAAAATGTTCATAAGATTATCAGTACCATATTGTCCTTTATCCTAGCTACATCTGCAAGTTTTAATGTAGTACTTCTTTACTTCACTCATTTTATAATGGATGTCAGGAACAAAAATTAGAATAAGTTGCTTTTTAGACAAGCAGATAATTTATTGTTGGCTAGTAAGTGAAGTATTTATACCAGACTGGCAGGTAGAAGCCACTTTTCTGAAAGAGGTTTTGCCCTGGCACTTCTGTTATTACCTTAGATTAGTTTGTAACAATCTACAGATTGTTATAAAATGTATAGGTTGATAAATTATCCACCACCTAAGTAAAATGTAAAGGTTCAGTAGAGAAAATTCTCATCCAAATGGAAAGTTGGTGAGAGTGCTGTATGTTAGCAACTACTTTGAGAGAAGCCTTACTGGTTCTATTCATGTCACCAAATAGAACTTACCAAGTTTAGATCTGCTGCAAACCATTTTCCTGCCAGCTGAATCCATAAAAGACTCATGAAACTACTTTCCCTTTATATGGCTATTTATTCTTATTTAACAGTAGTTATTCTGATTTGTTTTATTGGATTTTACTTAGAAGATTGTGAAATTCTAAGCTTAACATTTTGCAATAAACTAATTTGTAGCAAAGAACTGCAGTTATTGAGCTAAAAATTTAGAATATTATAAAAGAAAAACATAATAGTTGAATTTGGTGTTTTTCTAAGAAAGTTGTAATTGATCTTATAGCAAACATTTTAAGAAGTATGTCTGAAGAAAATGAAGCAGACAAAAAAGAATTTTTTTTAAACAAGTCTGTCAGTGCTTTTAAGAATTTTAGGCTCTAGTTTGTGAGCAGAGGGGGACTCAGTCTTTTCATAAAAAAGGTTGATGATCAGAGCAGTATGTTAGCTAGAGATCTACCTGTGTAGTGTAACACGGGCTGTTTTTTGTTTTCAAGGGATATCTTAATCGTCTTAGATTGAAATAATTAAATGCTATAATGAAAATTCTACGAAGTAATTGCTCATGAGAATTTTTAGAAATTATGAGAAACCATCATTTAAATGAATAATATGACACAGAAAATTTACTTTGCTCACCCCGGACTGTTGGAAAGAAAAGTTGAATATTAATCACTCACATTAGACTGTGAAGTAAAGGAATAGGCTTAATAGAAAACCTCCTACATTATATTATTTTTAAATGCCTTCCGACTTGGTCTCTGTGCTTATTCTCAAGATAGTACAGAAAAAGATTGCTCTAAAATGTTAGTGTCAGAGGACAGATTTTGAAGCATAAATAATAATGTAAATAGCATGTGTATTCTGTAGCTTTGAGATCATGTTTTCCTAGTGAAAAACACTGGAAAATCTCCTGATTCTCTTCTGTAAGTTTTCTGGTGCTAGAGGAAGAAAGTATTCACTGAACCTTTTTTTTTTCTCCTTAGCTGAAGGAGTATTACAAATGTGGGATTTGACAGAATCTTTGGAGAAATTGTTTCATTCAACTCCTTTATTTTATAGCTCCAGTGTAGGGAACTGAAGACTTTCTTAGAGCTGCGTAGAGCTACTTAGTAGTGATTTAAAAGAACCAGTGCTTTTTTTCATACCACACAAACCTTAAAAAATTCTAGTTCAGTGGTTTTCACAATTTGTTTGAGAAGTGGAACCCTTTCCCAGTCCCCCTTCCCCCAAGAAAATCTTGTACACACACAATCCCAGAATATAGAATAGAAAAGTGTTTAAGGGCAGAGCCCCACTCAACATAGCCTTTTCCCTTCCATAGCTAGAGATCTACCTATGTAGTGTAGGTTTAGATTATATTATGTAGGTAGTGTTTGGACGTAGTTTGAAAACTGGAAATACAGTGATTTTTTTTTTAAAGAGATTTGCCCCATGTAGTATTCAAATTGCAATGGGGAAGTTAGTGAAGAAAAGGAAGGTCATAAATCTTGGTAGAGACTTTTGGGACTTGTTCTAGCAGTTCTGCTCTAACACCAACCCATGTGGTCCAAACATGGATGGCTCCTAGTTCTTTAGGACTCATTTCTGTTTTTTTGCTAGGTTTCCTGTGTTCAGGTAGGAACACCAGATACAATATCTTTGTGTTTAGACCTGTGACAAGGCCACAATATCAGATACTCTTCCTAGTTTTCTGGTTTTAGTATAGGAAATTCTTGAATCAGATTGCTAAGATCATGCCAAAATCATTTGTGACATGTTTCCCAGTGTCTTGGTTTGAGAAGAGTCCATCACAGACATGTCGTACTGTGAGGAGGCCACTCCCACTAGTTCTGCCTGAGCCCCCACTTTGAGAGAAAAGTATGGTGAGTGTTCCCAGGTTTGAAAGGCAAACTTCCTTTTGTTCCTCTTAACCTCCCACAACTACACCCCTTAAGCTCTTGTGACCACCTGTTGGTCACCATTGTGGGATGGCTAAACCTCTCTCTCCTTACCCTTCTTCTACCCTTGCTCTGTTGTGTGGTTGTGCTCACGTCTTCCTCTTTCTGATGTGGCCCACTCGGATAAACTCAGACCGTTAACTCTACCTAGATTAGTGTGCTGGTCTTTGTAGTTCCTAGCTGGGCAGTAGTCAAAGTCCATGTTCTAGTTGTAGAGTAGGTGCAGCCATAAAACAGAACAAAATCATGTCCTTTGCAGCAACATGGATGCAGCTGGAGGCCATTATCCTAAGTGAATTAACACAGGAACAGAAAACCAAATGCCACACGTTCTCACTTACAAGTGGGAGGTAAACATTGGGTACACGTGGACATAAAGATGGCAACAGTAGAAACTGGGGACTACTAGAGCGGGGAGGGAGGGAGGGGAGTAAGGGTTGAAAAACTGTTGGGTACTGTGCTCACTACCTGGTTGACAGGATCACTTTTACTCCAAACCTCAGCATCATGCAATATATACCTAGGTATATATTGCACATGGGTACCCCCTGAATCTAAAAGTAAAAAGAAGCAAATTAAAAAAAAAAAAAAAAAAAGGAAGAAACAGACCTCTCCCCACACGTCTCCTGGTTTTTTGAAGGTGGCTGTGGTCAGACTATTCCAGCAGGTTCCTCAGTGCTTCATGCTGTTCATCAAACCTGGATCCATGTGGGCCTACCATTTATGTCATTTATTGTTATAAAAAATAATAAATATTCTCTTGACACCTTATAATTAGAGTTCATTTAAGTCCTTTTTACCAACTCCATTAGAGGACTTGTCTGGTGTCGAGAGTTTTGGTAGTTTCAGTATATTTGCTTGTTTTGTTTCTTCCACTGGATCTCAAGAAGGAACAAATTATTTTGTCATCTTATAGAACAAATTCAGATTGTACTAGATTAGAAGGAATTTATTTTGATGTTATTTTGGAGAAAAGAGTTACTTGGGACTTGGGTGGAAGTGGAGTTCATATGGATGGTTTTGTTTTGAATAATTTCTAAGGTCTTTTCTAGCGCTATCATTTTTTGTCAGTCTTCCACCTCTAAAATATAACTCTCTACTTACTTAGTTTTTTCATACAGAAAGATGATAGTGACAGTCTTCCTCTTACTTAAATACATGTCTCTTTCTACCATAGTATTGATTCTGCCATGGCATTTATTATGCCCAGTGACCAAGGCATTATATTTGTGGTACCTTTACCTTTCTAAGCCAATAAATATCGTTCATTTGCTAAAGAACATTTCATTAAACGAGGTACAGTTGGCTTTCCATATCCATGGGTTTGGCATCTGGATTCAGCCAACGTGAACTGAAAATACTTAGGAAGAAATTTGACAGAGTTCCAAAAAAAACCTTGCATTTGTTGCACGCTGAGTATTACATTGAATCCACACAGATGAAGTGATGTGTAGGCATTCTGGGTTGTTGGGTTTGTTGAGGATGTTGGGTTTTGTTATCTTTTGGGGGATCCTAGAAGTAATCCCCCATGGATACTGTGGGATGACTGTACTTATTTTTTTAGAAATAATTTCTACACTGTAGCCCCTTTTTCACTCCCAGTTTCTTTCATTTCTTTTTTGTAGGCTTCCTAAAATACTGGCAGAAGCTCCATCCTTTCTCTGTGCTTTGTTCCAATATTTTTAGCATGTTTCAGCTTGTTCTACATCCCTGGGATATATAATAAGACCTAGCCTAAATGTAAGCTTGATAGTTCAGGGACTATCTTAAGTGTTACGTAAGTTTTTTCTTTTAAGGGAGGGAGAACAAATTCTAATACTAGTTAATAGTGTCTTACCCATAGTGTGTTATCTAATGCCTTTCAAACTAGGAGAAAAAAAATCAGTGAACAATATGATGGTAGATGCTAAAATCTGCCATTTTGTTGTATATTTCTGACAGTTTCAGTTATTTTGCATTTGTATTATACAATGACTAACATCAGCCTTTTACCATTCTTTCCTCTGGTATTTTTCAGTAACAAATAATGAATGTATTTAGAGATAAAAATAATTTTGTGATCAAATGTGTTCTTGTAGAGTACGTTATTTTCCCTTATTTTCTCTGTGGTATTGCAAACAGTCATGGTGTGTGCTGCAGGTTATATGAGGATGAATAAGACTTGGTCCAGAAATGTCCAAAATACCCAAAACTGGAAAAAAGTTATCCCTGATAGTTAAATGGTCAAGATAGGCTTCCTGAAGGTGATGGTGTTTAGCCAGTCCTGGAAGGAATGGGCAATACAATTTCAACAGGTAGAAATAAGATGATTAAGGGTAAAATAAGAAAGGGGAAGATTAGTGCATCTTATAGAGCAGGACTGTTTAGCAAGAGTGTAGACCACAAGTTGAGGGTATGCTAGGAAATAAGGCTAGAAAAGAAGGTTGGGGTCAGATTATGGAGATCCTTATTAATAAAACTAAGGAGTTTAGCTTATTTCTGGTAGGCATTGGGGTGCTGCTGAAGAGAGTAGGGAAGGAATATATGATGCTAACTAAGGTTATTTTGACAATGCTGTAACTGAAAGTGAGGAAGAGAGACACTTTACTACAGGTAATAATTTGAAGGCCTTCCATGTACAGTCATTGTGCCAGAAAGTTAGGGATAAAAAGATGAATATAATACAATGCCACACCTTCGGTCTTGTAGTCTATAATGGAAAGGCTAAATGTTTAAATAGATTATTATAATGCAACGTGGTAAATATGTTAAAAGGTTTTAGTGTCTTTTTTTAAAGACAGTCTCACTCTGTCTCTTTGCCTGGCTGGAATGCAATGGCTTGATCTCACCTCACTGCAACCTGTACTTCCTGGGCTCAAGCCATTCTCATGCCTCAGCCTCCTGAGTAGCTGGGTTTACTCATCTACCACCACGTCCAGCTAATTTTTTGTATTTTTAGTGGAGAAGGGGTTTCACCATGTTGGCCAGGCTGGTCTTGAACTCCTGGCCTCAAGCGATCCACCCGCCTTGGCCTCCCAAAGTGCTAGGATTACAGGCATGAGCCACCATGCCTGGCCATAAGTATGTTAAAAGATTGATACAGAAACAGATGACCATGGTATTTAGGGTGTTTGAGGGGTTGAGGGAGTCAGGGGTAACTCCAGAAAGGACTGATACCTGTGAATTGTCCCCAGGGGTAAGAAGGAATTAGCAAAACTCCCAAATTAAAATCTTTATGAAAAATATTTCATCTTAGTGTTGTCTACTATTTTCTACAAAATATATATTTCTAAATTTTTCATTTACTATTTTAAAATTCTTAGCCTTCCTCCTCATCCCTGATTTAAAAAAAATTTTTTTTTGCCCTTTGGCTTCTTACATTCTTAATGAATGTGTTTATGAGTACTTTGGACTCCACTGAAAAAATTATAAGAGGCCAAGAGAGTAGGATGAAGGGCCTTCTAGACAGGGGGAACAGACTGAAAAAAAAAAACAAAAACAAAAACAGACGTTGGATACAAAAAAGTAGTTTCTGCTCTCATGTAAATGTTCAGCATACATTGCAAATACAGAACTCAAGTTCCAAAGATAATTATATTAGAAATACAGATTTGGACCTGATTTCTAAGATGATGATGATGGGATGGGTAGGCTGGATAAATAGATGAGTTGGAGGTAGAAGATGTGGGGAGAGAAAAGACTCAGCAGGGATGGAAAGCACAGGGAGGAAAAATGGCCACCAGATATAACAGAGCAGCCTGTGTTAATTAATGATCAACTGTGTTTTTGTTTTTTGTTTTTTGTTTTTTTTTCCTGGCCCAGATGGATAGCTCCCAGTTGATCCACTGTCGGGAGCTTGTGGCACATCACCTTTCTACTCTGCAGTCTTCCCTGCCTCTAAATTCCGTTTATGTCTACCGTCCCCTCAAGCACACCCTGGTGACCTGTGACAAAGGAGTGTTCAGATTACATCCCTCCTCTGTCCCAGGCCCAGACTTCTCCAAGGACAACAGCAAGCCAGAAGTGCCAGTCAGAGGTACAGCAGCCTTTTACCATCATCTCCCAGCTGCCAGTGGGTGCAAGCAGACCTCTGCTAAACGCAAAGTAGAGGAAATGGAAGTGGATGACTTCTATGATGGAATCAAACGGCTCTATAATGAAGATAATGTCTCAGAAAATGTGGGTTCTGTGTGTGGCACTGATTTATCAAGACAAGAGGGACATGCTTCCCCTTGTCCACCTTTGCAGCCTGTTTCTGTCATGTAGTTTCAACAAGTGTTACCTTTGAGTGTAAACTAAGGTAGACTACTCTGGGAATGAGAACATGCAAAATCAGGAAAGGCTGTAGAAGGATATATACCTTAACAGGCTGATTTGGAGTGAGCCAGAAAAAAAAAAAAAAAAAAAACTACTCTCATTATTTGTGTGGCTAATTATAATTCAGTGTTATTTAAACACATAAGGACCAAAAAAAAAAAAAAAAAATCCAAAAGATCCAAACTTTTTTTAAACTTAAAAAACCTCTTTGTAGTATGCCAGTTGCACTTTTTTTCTGCCATAATGTAACGTAGCTTGCCCCATAAAAAATTCAGTTAAAATTCATAGCCAGCAAACCTGTTCCCCCTCAGCATCCTGATTTGATTTTGCTTTTGCTTGCTTCTCCATTTAAGTTACTGAACTTTATGCATGCTGATCTGTATTGATTCTCACTGAATAGGAAACCCCAAAATTATTTTTTAGCAGTCGAACAAATTATTTCAGTGTGACAGCCATGATGCAAGTTCCAATTAGTATGAAAGGGTACTTTGGAATTGTCCCATATTAATCAGAGACAGCAACAGAAAAAGTTCTCATATTACCAGGTTGATTTTGTGTCTCATTTCAAATTTTAATTTAAAATTATGGTTTTCATTTTTGTTTACCTTAAAGTGATGCTTAAAAGTGGTATGTAATTAGGACACTTAGATTTGTTGAAAGCATTTTTGACATTTGTATAAAAGAATTTGTGATAAAGTTAATATATCCAGGTGCTCACCAAAGAAACATGTATGTAACAACTGAAATTAGATTTTTCTAACTGATAGTTTTCACTCATTTATAATCAGTAGGAGAGACTGTCTAGATGTTAGGGCAGCTCTGTGATTTGAGTCTGTTAACATGTTATAACTGAATTTAGTACCCTAGTTTTGTTAAGCTATTAGGATTTTCTAATAGAACTTACTCCCCACCTGCCTCCCCAGCCTACTTATAGTTCTCTTAACGACTTCTGGGTCCTGAGCTCCCTTTGCAGTCTGAAAAAGGTATTGCAGTCAGAACCATGTACTGATGATAAAAGCCTCTGGTAGCAATAAAAAGTTGTCCTTAACTTTTGTTTCTGTGACTTTTTTCCAGTTGTGAAGAGGTACAGGTACCTGATTGGCTAGGCACTGCTATTTCAACTAGAGAAAACAATAGAAAGACCAAGAATATACTTACTGAAAATGAAACATGAAGAAAAGAGGATTTGAATGTGATCGAGGGATATTGGTTTTAGATATAAGAATTTTTCTTTTATGATATTTTTTCACTAGTGCACTGTGAATCCTCCAAATAGTAAATTTTCATCTTAATATGACTGCTTGTGAGAGTAGGCTCAGACCTGTATCTTTAAAATGTCATTTTTAGCCATTTTTAATGTTCAGATTTAGGAGAACAAGAGTATTTTCAGGTCATCATCTGACTTGTAAAAAATTCTTGTGGTAGGGTTGACTACCTGTTTTATGACCTTAAACTCCAATTAAATGGGAAGCATTTACTCACATGTCAGTACAGGGAGTGGGAGGGAAGATAGCAAAGGATTGACTTCACAGATACACATTTTAAAAATTTCTGATCCTGATCTTCATCTGTTTAAGGAGCTCTAAGAAGTTTACAACTGTATATGTTCATAGTATCTGTAAAATGATACAGATATGTAGAACTTCCTTCTATTTAACAGATGAGGACATCGTTGTGTTATATAGAAAGCTAGGGATAAAACAGTTTAGAGTCAATATTTCATTTGTAGTCCAGTAGCTGCAAATTGAGCAGAACATTAGAGGACAATAGAATTTTCACTTTTTGGTCTTAAGGTTTTCAATATTTAAAAATTGCTGGTAAGTTAGTTTGGAATACAGCGTTCTTTTCATGGGACACCGAATCAAGTGGGATGGTGGGCTGCTAGCCCTCACACCTCAGAACTTGTTTAACCACATCATTCAGTTCAGTGATAGTACTTTGGAGACTTGGCCCTCGAAAGCACTGTTAAACCTTGGCCACCATTTCAGAGGCCTGAGCCCACTTCATCACAACTTACTGTGGGCCCTTAGAGAACTGTGGCTTGTGACAGAAAGAGCCTAGTATTCTTAAACAGTGTAGAATTTTTCATTAAGAATGTTCCGGTTGGGCGCGGTGGCTCACGCATGTAATCCCAGCACTTTGAGAGGCTGAGGCAGGCGGATCACGAGGTCAGTGAGTTCGAGACCAGCCTGACCAACATGCTGAAACCCCGTCTCTACTAAAAAATACAGAAATTAGCCGGGCGTGTAATTCTAGCTACTTGGGAGGTTGAGGCAGGAGAATCGCTTGAACCCAGGAGGCGGAGGTTGCAGTGAGCCATCGCGCCACTGCACTCTAGCCTGGGCAACAGAGCGAGAAAAAAAAAAAAACCTGTTCCTGCGGTTCAGTTAGTTCCCTTTTTGCCTGAAACTATTCTCAGCCTTTCCCAAGTTACTTGTGTTAAACTTTGGCATCACATCACAAAGTCAAGACCTGGAAACTTGAGCATTCTGCATTGTAATTGGTGCCTCCTGGTGGTTAAAAAACCGGTTGCTTCGTGAGGCCTCTGGAACGGCAAGGGAATATACTTGATGGGGATAGTAGTTATTCTCTAATCCTCCATTCAAAAACCAAAAAAACCCCTAAAGAACATGTTATAGCCCTTGAAGATCAGACTAGAAGCTAAATATTTTACTTCATTCTCTACGAGATCAATATGAAGTTAGTTATATACAGAACTAGAAGTTTTCTCTACAGATATATGATGTATTAGTTTGGAGGGGGAAGGGAAAGCTGGGAATGCAGAGTGCTCCCAAATGTCAGTAAAAGGTCAAATATAAACAGTTTATCATAAATGTTCCTGATGCTGCCTTTGGCTGTGAAGGAAGGTAGAATGTAGCTCTTCACTCAGCCAAGCTGATGAGAATCTGAACCTACGTTCTTGTTGAGAGAATTAAGACACTGGTGTTCGTGCCCCCAAGAAGTCCTATTTATTGTCTCCTGTGTTGTCAGAGCCAGCCACTTCTGTGTGTCCTCTGTACTCTCTACAAACCTGAATTGTCAAGCTTTTAAATTTACTCCTAGATTTCCTGAAGCAAGTTATGCTTGAGCATTAGTGCCCAAAGTAGCATGGTGGCCTTTCACTTGAGAAGAAAATGTGGTTAAGCTACTGATGCACAGCCAACATGATGAGGAGCTTATCTTTATCTAAAGTAGTTTGCACATTTTCAACTGGCAAGTGAAGATACTATGTCACAGATTCTCACAATCAAATTGGCAGAATGCAGCCCCAGTTTAACAGGGTTCAAATTCTAACTCCTCTCAAACCTTTACCCTTTCTATTTGACATCATAAAGTTTTGTCTAACATGTAAATGTTACTTTTAAAGCCTCCAAAATTCTTTTAGTCTTTAAATTATGTTGAGAATGTCTCCTATACCTGTTATCAAATAATGCTATGAGCTTTGGCCACTAGATGGTGCTTCTAGAAAAATACAGCATCTTTTTAAATTTCTGGGAAAAAATGAGTTTACTGTATGTTAGCAGTTGAACACTCATCTGGTTGCTAAGCCAACTGTGTTGGCTTAGTTAGAAGTTCACATTACTTAAGGTACAGGAGGCCTGTGTGTGTGAGACTGAGGGAACTTTGGCAAGATCAGCCAGGGTTAAGGGGCAGATGGTGACTGGATACCACGATTCAGACCAAGAAAAACCAGAACCAGTCTTACAAATCCCAATTAGTGAGTTGTGTGGTTCTGCAAAGTAGCCTAGAAATACAATTGAGAAGGCTTGAATATAGCCAAGTCCCAAAACCTTGCTGCTTTCAGTTTGAGTTGGATTTGGCCCATCATTAGGAGAGAAAAGATGAAGAGCACACTTAACTTAGCACAGCTTGCATCAAGGAATTAAATAGCAAGTTTTCCCTCACCATATTTAGTGGCTTTTATGATGTACTCGTATGTAAGACCAATGTCAGAGACATAACTCTCCCTTGTGCCACTTTTTACTTTAAAAGGTGTAATAAGATAACCAAGAATGTCTTATCAGATAGAAAAATTTGAGAAGAGCTCACTTTTTTAGTTCCTAGGAGCTTCTGGAGTTAAGGATGAAATGAGAACCTCTGCCTTTCTCTTAACTCTAGAAGTATAGCCTTCATAGCAGATCAAATGCCAGAATTGTTGACCTTATTGTGTTATACAACAGTAAGGTAGTAGAAAAGCAGTTTGAATAGCCCTAGGCCTAGTGAACTGGTCTCTCATTTCTTGGAAATAGCTTATTTTGTTAGACAATAGGACACTCCAGAATGAAGGCCAACTTTAGGCAAGGAGCCACTAAAAAGTGATTGGTGGGGAGCAGAATCCTTTTTGCTTTTCAGGATATGATCTATCTTCAGCAAATGAATTAGCACAGAAAAGGCTTGCCTTTTCTTTCACTCTCAACATTGCTGTGCTTATGAGTTATACAAGTTCAATTCATAGTGCATAGCTAAATCCCCGGTACCTAATGTAGGCCTGGTGCAGTATGCACAATAAAGTATTTGGAAAGAGGGAAGGAGGGGTTGGGGGAAGATGGATGAGTGAATAAGAAAAAAAGAAAAGGTAGAACTGCAACTCTCCAGAGCTCTAAACACATGGTTCACAGTTAAGCCCAGCTCTTTTGGTTATTTAAGAGACAGGGTCTAGGTCTGTTGCCCAGGGTAGAGTGCAGTGGCATGATCCTAGCTCACTGCAGCCTTGAACTCCTGGGCTCAAGCAATCCTCCCACCTCAGCCTCCTGAGTAGCTAGGACTACAGGCACACACCACCATGCCCAGCTGACTTTAAAAAATTTTTTAAAGATAGGGTCTTGCTATGTTTCCTAGACTGGTTTCAAACTCCAGGCCTCAAGTGATCCTTCCACTTCTGCCTTCCAAAGTGCTGGGATTACAGATGTTGAGCCAATGCACCTGTCCAAGCCCAGCTCTTTATGGAATGTTATTCTGCTCCCCGTTCCCCACCCTCAAACACACATATTTATTTATTCTTTTGCGGGACAGGGATGAACAAAATCTTGTTATAATAGCCTTTGCCTTCCCTAGTCTAGGTGCCATAACTTTGGAAGAAACTTTCCATAGTGGACTGAAAGGCTATTCATCTCACATCCCTACAAGTAACTGATTTGAGGCCGATGTGAAATCTTTTGACCTCATGTGATGTTCCACTGACAACCAAAAACATCTCATTTATATATAGCTACTAATCAGGAATAGCAAGGTAGGAAAGGGAGATGAGTAGACACCTAGGCTCCCAATTAGTCTTCTCAAATTAGCACATGCAACCTGGGCACGGCTTTAATCTCAGTATTGTAGGCAGCTGAGGTGGGAGGAATGCTTGAGGCCGGGAGTTTGAGACCAGCTTGGGCAACATGAGACTCCATCTCTACAAAAAATAAAAAAATTAGCCAGGCATAGTTGCTGATGCCTATAGTCCTACCTACTCAGGAGGCTGAGGTGGGAGGATTGCTTGAACCAAGGATGTCAAGGCTGCGGTGAGCTGTGATTATGCCACTGTACTTCAGTCTAAGCAACAGAGTGAGATCCTGCTAAATAAAAAAATTAATACAAGCAATCCCTTCACCAGCCCTGGGTATGCCAGCTGCTTGCTGGAGACTGACCTGAAAGACAGACAGTATTCTTCGCCAAAAACTAGATACCATGGTCTTAAAAATTCAAGCACTAGGAACTCTGAAGTGAGCCACACTGCCATCACTGTCAGTCTCCAGGTGGAAAAAGTCAGTTGTGAAACTAAAGGTTTTAAAGGTGGCTTAAAAAAACCTTTGTCTTTTGTGTTTTTTATTTTATTTTATGAGACGGAGTTGTGCTTTGTCGCCCTGGCTGGAGTGCAGTGGGGCGATCTTGCCTCACTGCAACCTCCGCATCCTGTGTTCATGCGATTCTCCTGCCTCAGTCTCCCAAGTAGCTGGAATTATAGGCATGTGCCACCATGCCTAGCTAATTTTTGTATTTTTAGTAGAGACAGGGTTTTAACCATGTTGGTCAGGCTGTTTCTGAACTCCTGACATCAAACAATCC